AGAGAGGCGGAGGAGAAGGAGGAGGAGGAGGAGGAGGACAGGGGGTGGCAGCCGAGTGACATACGGGGTCTGATAAGAGCCGCGACTTGCGCAACCCCGTGTAACAAACTGTACAGGAAAAGAGGAGGAGGATGGGAATGGGGCTGCAGGAGGTGAAGAGGGGGGGGGGGCAGCTCAACACGAACTGCGCACATCAAACCCTGACCACCCTCTGACTCAGAGTGGCCCGCGGCCCCGCCCTGCCCCGACCAGAGCCGAACGCAAGCTGTAAACAACAACAAGGTTCGCGAGGCGCGAGGCCGCTGGCCGTGCAGCACCGACAGGGTAGGGGTGCGTTGGTTCGTTGGGTGCGGCGGGGCGGGGCGGGGCGGGGTGCGCCAGGATCCATACGATGGCAGTCGTATCGAGGTTGCGCCGGTCGCGGGCGTATTGGCTACAAGCGCGTGAACACACTGAATGCAGTAGTGGGCGTAGTAATGGAGTAGCCATATGGGCGACGCAACTGGTAGGAGGGGTGGGTGAGGTAAGGGTTAAGGCCGAGTTACAACTGCGACAGGCCACGGAGGCCACGGTTTGCCTACCGCCCTAGGAATGACGCCTCCCATGCGGACCGAACAAGCAGACCCGCACACTGTAGTGTCGCAGCCCTGACACACGGAACGGTGTCTATGGAACACTCTGTATTGTATCCAAAACCACGAGATAAGAAAACGTGCGACGACGTCTACCATACACCTGCTCACGGGCAGGGCGGCCATGTTGGGTGAGACGTTAGTGCCGCGAGTACCACACCTTTTTTCCATTTCCCCGAATGTCCGCTACTCCACTCGTTTCCGCCCTTGGGCTTTGCTGCGGGCGCATCCGCCCGACCGGACGGAAGGACTGTCGCGCGTTGAGCCGATTACCGTCGCTTTTACAGGCTCTATGCCGGGTCAATCGATGTTTGCGAACAACATGCGGGAAACTTCGCCCTCAACTTCAGTCGCGATGCATAATCGTACAGCAGCCCCACTCGGTATCGTTCAGAAAAGTGCGCCCGGTTCGGTCAAATTGAATCGAGTTCATGACGGGAGCTCGGCGCCTGCGAAAGTCCTGGTAGGCCATCCCGCAGTACACGCATGCACGGAAGGCAAGATGTTGCCTACCCATCAGGCGCCATAAGAGCCTATATGGCATGGGCTGTAACGGCCAATTACGGTCGCGTACTTTCTGGATAGGCAGACATTCCACACTCTTGGAATCTTACGAACAAATAGTGTTCGTAATATGAACGCTACTGTTCTGTTCATATTATGAAGATTCTGTGCTGTCATAGTACGAACACAATTTGTTCGTATTGCGAATCCTCTCGATCGTAATATGAACATCTCTATTCATAATTCATAATATGAATGATTTTTGGATTCGTACGTCATGAAGGGAAAGCCAATAGCTTAGTAAGGTACTGACCCCAAAACTGATTTAACCCTTAACGAGAACATTCATACTATGAACGCGAGGATCCATAACACGAAAGAGTTGTGTTCGTATCATGACAGCACACAAATTGTTCATATTATGAACACGACGTTCGTAATATGAACAAAGTCGTTCGTAAGATTTTAAGGGTGCGTCCGAGCCGGTCCGAGCATTCCCCGTTTAGAAAAGAAACAGAACCTGACCCGTAGCGCAGCACCGCGAGCACACGTCGTCCGCGTGGGGTGGGGGTGGGGGTGGGGGGCGGCGGTGCATCATGTATGCATTAGCCGGCGGGTCGAAACGCAAGCGGACATTTCCAGCACGGATGCAGACGTTTTAAAAGCACTCACTCGTCCCCGCCACTCGCCCGTGTGTGCTCGCTGTCCGGCCCTCGCAACCTTGACTCGCTTTGCAGGGAGGTTATTGAGCCACCGGGGAAAGGAAACAATCGATCCCGGACGATTTTGGGGGGGACGGGTGGGGCCGGGATAGAGGGGGTGAGGCTGTCGAAGAGGGGCACGGGGGTGGGGTATGGGAGGGGGGACCACTCACGCACAGCGCATCGGAGTCGCCGGAGGCGGGGCGGGGCGGGGCGCGGGGCGGCGGGGCCGGCCGAACCGGACACATCCGATATGGCACCCTCATCACTCTATGATGGGGGGTGCTAAAGTTCCGCCGCCGGAAGCCCCAGAATCAAAATCGATAAGAGTCCCACACTCGGTCGGGATCGTATCGAAAATCGTGCGAGCGCTAGCACCAGACCGACCCGCGCAGGGCGCGCTTTACACGCTGTTGTAATTGCGATCCCCCCTCTTCAAAATGTCATCGGCGACATTTTCGCACCAACACGACAAACATGGTCATCGTCGTGATCGCGATCGACCGCCGTGATTAACACGGCGCCGCTCGCATGGCAGCCGGCCGTTCGGCTGAGCGCCCCGCCCGGCCTCTGTACAACTAACTTTGCGCGGCGCCGCCCCGTGTAATCTAACTTTCAGTCACAGTGCCACAGCCCCTCCCCGCCCCGCCGTCTGCCACGCAGTGGTCTAAGCCGCGCCCGCCCCCGGGCCCGCAGGCCACCCAACCGGTACCAGGCGCACCGCAGCCGCCCGGCCGGTAGGCACCCCATGCGGCACGGGGCCGTGGCGGGCGGCGGCGGCGCGCCCACCTGACTGACACCGACACCCGCCCAGCCGCCGCCGCCGCCAACGCTCGTGAGGTGAGCACGGGCCGCGCCGCGCCACGCACGTGGACACGCGGCCGAGCGCCGACTGCGCGAAAAGTAAAATACAGACCGGGACAGAGACATCCGACGCCCGAGGGCCGCGGGCACCCAGCTCCGCCCGCCTCGCCGAAGGAGTTTGCCCATGTTTCTTTCCGAAAAAATTCAAAACTTTGCCAGAAAAAGAGACATTGGAAAAACATTTAAATTATTCCACAAAAAATTGGAAATGAGACTTTATGGGTAAAGTTTAGAAATTTTGAAACAAGTTCTTTTTAAAAGTACTCAAAAATACTTCACTGGAAAATTAAAGTCCCTAGCATCGTCCCGCCACGCACGACGTCAGAGCCCTGGCGCTTGGCGGGGCTGGGCTGTGTGCGCGCGGTTTAGCTACAGCCGGGCAAACGTGTTTATCGCGAACATCAGGCGTTGTAAAAAAGAGGCGCGATAGAAGACTCGCCGAAATTGCTGCCGACATTGCGTGCCCCAGGCCGATCAACCCCCATCGTGGCAAAAGATCCAGCCTATGCGTTTTTGTCAATTGGTGGAAATTGCCCCGCTCCTTTTTTTTTAAAAAAAGAAAAAAAAGCTATTTCTACGTGTGTCGTTTTACAATGACGTGGGGAAATAATCGCGATCGCGAGGACACCTGCACCACGACGACAGAACCACCAACCGTTCCAAGTATTGACGCAGTGAACTGCTGGTTTTGAGCCTTTCAAACGATGTTCCCCGCAAGTATTCACTCCGCAGAAAGTTGGCGATCTGTGTTGTGTTTGTGGTGGACTCGACACAAAGAAAGGCCACCGGGTGGCAGCAGAGAGCGCGGGCGATAGAGTGAGGGCCTCCGCAGGGCAGCCACGCAACCAGGGTCCGGCCCACGCTCGGTTAGCACCCATGGACTCGCCCATGGAGCACCAAGGACAACGCAACACCCGCTTTGGACCCACCATTGATTGATTGAATGGTTGACTCATCGATCGGATACCGGACCCAGCGAGGCTCTTCAGTTCAAGTAAAGAGACCAGCTTGGCTATATTGAAAGTTATGAAATAGTAGAGACATGCATTTCCACCAGTCTTTTAGTTATAAATTTATCGAATTAGAATATCAGTGACTTTTCACTGAGCCTAACCTAACGTGGCAAAAAATCTGCGTCGAATGTTCTAAGATATCTTATCTCACTATCTTATTTCAAAAGTTCTGTGGCCAGTGACTTGGGTCAGATTCTCTTTGACGCATGACGCGCTTACAGGTGACTAAACAATTCGTAAATTTTATTAGCATTACCGTAAACTACACACACTCTCTCTCTCTCTCGTACACACAGAGACATACACGGCCACACGTGTGAATACTCCTTGCAGCGACGCCGCCACAGGCGCCGTCGCACGGAGTATCTCCGGCGGTGGATCCCTGCCGGGGGG